GTATTTTCAGCTAATTCCACTTGTCATCGTCTGTTTTCATCGTCTGTTTACCAGGATGATAGCAGCATGATACATACATATTTTCATGATAATACTCACACATTGTGGGGTTCTATTGAAAGGGTGAATTTATACTTTGCCTGACTAAATGATCCTACCACACATGGCACTGGCACCAAATCAGTGAGCATACAAAACACGATCCCGTTAGTCGCCTCTTACGACAAGCATGGGTTGCTGAACACCAATTCTTACCCCGATCATGACGGGTACATCAAGTGAAATTTCACAACGATGTTGAGGAAACGCCATCTGTGAGCTCTGTTGTTTCCAAATAGGTGATGGAGATACATGCATTACCAGTTATGAAAGTTTGTAGCATTCTGAATACCAAAGCTGGAAGGTATTAACACATGCATTACATAGATAATGCTTATCATTTCCAAGAACACACAAAAAACACACAAACACGAACACACACAAAAACCAGGACTGTTTCAGCAGCTTCAACATTTCGTTCTCGTAATAAACTGTTTTCTATGTTTATTACACTTACTTATAGGTCTTATTGTCCTCCTGAGAGGGTCCGTAAGTCCCAACACATTGAAACTAAATTTAAACTAGCCACATTTTTAATCGTAGAATATGTGTGCTTTTACTTTATGGCGAGATTTGTTTTCCATCACCAATGGCTGAAGGGATGGTGTAAATCCAGCTAGGGTCCATGCAGGTAGCAAAGGTACTGTAAGTCCCCATGGTCCCTAGTATGGTGATCTACATTCGGTTGTTATTGATCTGTAGCCCGTTTTTATTTTGTACTGTCTATAGTGATTTAATTTTACGATGGCGTACTAGTTTGAAAGTTATATAGCTGTGATACTCTAGTATTTTTACTGTCCTTCGATGACAGGTTTTTACGTTATACATTCATTGATTTGAATATTGATATAAACTGTTCTCGTCACGATATGGTTGCAATATTGCCGATGTGACGTTAAATTTTAACTCACTCACTACTTATATGTCCCAGGTTCATTTACATGGACTTTACATGCCTCAGTTGTGTCTACAATGACCAGAAAGAAGTGTTTGTTGTGATGCATTTGTAATGTATAGACCGTCATTATTGAAAGATGTTTTAGCTTTGCTGCCTGGTTGTTTGTCGAAATAGTGTCACAGACATGTTGGTTTACCATAATGCCTGTCAAATAGCCAGAGGTTTGAGATGTTTACCTCTTTGACGAAATCCAGAAGCACGGGTGTGATGGTGTAAACATGTGAATAGAATGGGAGTAGAACGGGGTTCGAACACAGCGTTTTCAGAGCTGATCATATAGACTATGGACATAAGATTCTCGAAGAGTTTACTTGGGAGAACACTACTCAATGAGCAAAAGGTAAATGCATAGTCTCAGACATATAGCTACAAGAGTATGACAAATGCCCTGCCTGAAAACATAAGTAGATAATCCAGATGCTTGATTGGTGGCAAATTATTTTGCTTGAACATGATACTTTTATTAAGAAATACTGGCGGTTTTCAGTCATGAACCAATACTTGTTTTCTCAATAAATTATAGTTTCGCGATCACCGGCCGGTTATATTTCACGCTCACTCAATTTGTGACCATTAAGTAAGTATCAGGATATTTTCCTTGCCATGGGTGACCAACTGTATTTCAAATGTTGAAGAAAATGTGTCAAACTGACTTTAACAAATATGTATCAATGGACGGATATGGCAAAGTATTCAGGAAAGGTATTATCGGGCAAAATGTACCACCACAACACCCATGGTGGGACGATGACTTAGGTTGCTTTACAGAGAGAAAATATGAAGATTAGAGAAAAATAGATCTTTGGGATATACCTTTGCAATTTATAAAGAGGCTATGGAATAAATTCAAGTGCATATTTAACAGAATATAGAGGAATGTTGAAATGAACAAAGGACTTTATTAGTAAATGCACGACATACCCGCAGATCATTCTGTAAACTCCTCATGTCAGGATGAAGAAGTGATACATAATCTGGAGCTATAACACAGAATCAATTGTGTACACATATTAAAAAGCACGTATTTTACAGCTAATATCATAGAAGACAGTGGTAGAATTTAACTAAACATGCCTTTGCCAGATGAAACTTATTTAGGAGCCAGGTTCGACGAAATCGAGCTCATGCGGTCAACAGGCTCCTGGAGTTCGAGTATGGGTTAGACGATGAAAAATCGCCTGCATGCAGCTCATCTGAATGTGTGATGACCACGTGTTTAGCCACTCCTGACACATCGTTTCTGGGGAGATTGTCGCTGTTCACATGCCAGGGTTAGATTTAAGCCCATGTTCATTGGCATTTTCTTGAGTGTTCTTGTGAGGCGACGTCGAAATGAACGTCAAACCAATGGCAACCTTAGACCTCATGACAGATTTGGCGCTGGGTCCGTAATGACTTGGGATGCAAGAAATGTTCACTGGGCCATCCTGTTGCAACAACATTCTCACACCCTCTATGTCCCGTTTGCAAGGCTTCAGTATTGTTCAACAACACACCGTAAAAGGAGGCCATGATCAGCAATTTACCTTGGCATTTCCTTGAGCAAGTTTGTGACATGATAGGGAGAGTCACATATATAGTATAAATGCTCGAGTACTGAACGTTTGAGAAATCGAGGTGGAACAACTTCCTACTCATTGGAAAAAGACCCATGAATATCCGGGTTAGAATGTGCCTTCAGTAACCCATGCTTGTCGTAAGAGGCGACTAACGGGATCGGGTGGTCAGGCTTGCTGACTTTGTTGACATATGTCATCGGTTCCCAATTGCGAAGATCGATGCTCATGCTGTTGATCACTGGATTGTCTGGTCCAGACTCGATTATTTACAGACCGCCGCCATATAGCTGGAATATTGCTGAGTGCGGCGTAAAACTGAACTCACTCACTCATTCGAAAAACATCTACAAAACTACCGTGTTTCCGCATTCGTTTGTCAAGGCAGATGGCGATCATACCAGCGATTCTTGTACAGCACAACATGCTTAAATGTTTTCCAAGTTAATAAATCTATTACTAGAAATTAAAGCATTATGAGTTATTTCCGATTATACCTTACTCTTTATGAAGAATACGGTTTTGACAGATAAAAAGATTAAGTCTAATTGAATGATACTCTTCTGGAACGGAGGCAAGGAATGTTTATTTTAATTATATTTATTTGACCTTCCGGGATCAACAGACGATGTCAACGGAACACCCCGGCTGAATATTTACTTTCTGGACAATCGCTAATCCTAACCTTAACCCATTCTACCAACACCGCGCTGCAAATCAAGTACAACTGTTTACCTCAACTGAAGATACATTATGCACGGGGTAATAATATCACGATATTACCATTGATTCGTGTATTTTACATTTTCAATGTAGACTATACATCCTTCACCTGAAATTCGTGACTACTTAGGTGTGGCTTCATTCGTCCAATCCATCTTATGTTCATTCGTTCAGTGGAGATCTATTCTAACGGCGAATCCCAGTGGGATGGCTGGTTGAACAGTCATTCACGTTAAACAGTCATTAATATTCACATGATTGCAATTGCTTTTTCTTTGATGATGTATTGACAATGTTCAGAACAGCGTCTACGTCAGTCGTACGAGGGACGAAACAAGCACATGTTAACATTTGGAGACAATTATCACAATAACACAATGCCAGGCGTTTTAAACCCGGCTGTATAGCTATTAGTGCCAAATGTAAATACCACTGTACATGAACTCAACAGCCACGAACTGCTGATAGCTCTGTATGTTCTGGTGGATTCCTATACACATGATCTGTGCATTCACTATGATAATACCTATTTTTAATCCATCGAGCATCCATCACATGAAAACACTATTCGATTTGACATTTGAAAAAGCTGTTAAAAGTGAGCTGTAACTTGTCGCTCAAACAACCTTTTTCAAGGACTGGAGATCTATCTAAACATTTGGAGACCATATTACCGCAATTGCAGAGCACTGTTTCCATAGCGACAATGTCAAACCATTACAAAGTAAAGCTGCATATCCGTTAGTACAAAAACGTCACATTTAAGTCAGTTTCGACTTGATGCAGTCACCCAGCCGTGTTGTTGGCATTCTGCCGCGGTCCAACAGTTGATTCTGGTTTAAACTGGATCACGATGAAAATATACGTAAGGAGGGTCCCCATGATCTGTGTCAACAAAGAAGCAAAGTAAGAGAACTGCAACAGGTTATTGAACAGAGATGAAGCAAAATGTTTCCTGTCACGGCTTTTAGTTGAGGTTACAGTTACTCTTGCAAATAGCATGTAAGGATCCATATGTATTAAACGTACCGTTAGGACAGTGTCCTTCGTGATGGTCACTAGGCCTGAAGCACTGATTCCAATCTGGCACTGAGACAACTTGTTGGTGAACAGTGTGACCTGGTGTACATTTCGAAAGAAGAATAACAATATTGACAACAAAGTACATATTCACTAAATGGCGCTTTTTCCCAGAAAAGACAAAACAGTAAAAATATCATCGGTAATATTACCTTACAGGATTTATTGTAATACATCCCCATGGTCTCTAATATGGTGATCTACCTTCAGTTGTTGGCGACCTATAGCCCAATTTTACATTGTATTGTCCGGAAATAATTTTCTACTTTTAAAGATATATGCTAGCTAGTTTTAACTCAATCTGTGATAATCTAGTGGTTTTACTGTCCTTCGTTGACAGGGTTTTATATATTATATGTATGTGTTATAAATTTTGAAGTAGGTTTAGTCACGATATGGCTGAAATATTGCCGATGTGACTTTCAATCTTAACTCACTCACTCACTCACTATTGTAATACATTCAGGAGTGAGTAGGGGTGTCTATGTGATCACTGAGGTATAAATGAAAAAAAAACGCCTTTGCAGTGAGATGTACTGGATGATATGACGGACAGAGAACGTTATATATTGTATGTGACCAAATTACCCAAAATAGGAAATGTATGACAAAGAGCACATTTTATGGACAGACAATGTTGTCTGTCTATCAAAAGTGTTCCTCTTTCTCATACCAGCTTCCAAAAAATGCAACTAAAAGAAAATCAACAACGCAGTCAAAACTTCAAAACCAATCAAATAAAAGAAACATACGACGTTGCACAGCACACCTCAGTTTTTAACCTATGCAACTGTCACGAGTGTAAATGCTTAAGATACAACTGAATTGTTTTCTTACCAGTCCCAGCACTCTGTCTGACATCTTTCTCCCAGCCAAGCCATGAAGGATAATGAGAGGTCGGTGAGCCTGGAAACAAACATTCCAATTACTTTCTATAAAAGCAATCACAGTTCACAAAACCACTGCACAATTGAATACTGTACTGACTGCGAGAACTGGTGGTCTCAAGGCCACCCAACGGGAAGAGATGTCGCTCTTGACACCAAAAGCCTACTACCGCGACACATCATCGGGACATTACTACAAGTGAAACCATAAACTTTAATATTCAATAGAAACTGTTATTACTGCAGTCGTTTACACTTAGACACTGACAAATCATGGTATACTGTGTCTGACAATAGGAACAGGCCATTATGTAAACTATTTTAATCTAACAAAAGTACAGAACATGTAAATGCCTATGTGTTTTGCACGGGTATTTAAGTTGTGCCTTTAAGCATGGACATCACATATTACGACAGTAAGGTTTTGCTCTAATCGATTTTTCATGAGTGTAATTTCCTTGGCCCAGTTGTATATGCCATTCTCAGTGAAACTGAACAGATTGACAAAATGCAATAGGGTACACATTTCATATACTGAGTCAAAAACGAAACTTCACATTCTTTCTTCAGGGCACTATAAAAGAACAAGAGATGGTAAGATGGTTAAATTGTTATTATTTCATTGCTGAGATCTGTGTGATGTACTCGATACACTGACAGTGCCATAATCAGTTCAATTAGGCTACATCGCCGTTCCAAAACATGGGTATACAGAATGTCAAGTCACAAGAATAAAAATGCGAAATTTCTCAGTTCAATATCGTGTATGGCCGCCCCGCGCATTCACCACTGCCAAACACCGTCTCCTCATCGACTGCCTGATGCTTGTGAACATGTGGTTGGGGATTCTGCGCCATTGCCCTTGCAAGGCAGCGCCAAGTTCCTGCAAATTCTGAGGTTGGTTCCCAAGACCACGAAGCCTTCTCCCAAATACATCCCAAACGTGCTCTATTTGATTAAGGTCAGGGGATCTCGATGGCCAGTCCATGACGTTGATTCCAGCGTTTTGAAGGAAATTTCGTGTCAACATCGCGGTATGCGGCCGAGCATTATCATGCTGGAACTGTAGACCTGGGCAATGAGCCGCCATGAAAGGAACGAGTTCAGGGGTGAGCACCTGGTCGCGGAAGCAGCAGCTGTGAGGTTTCCACGGATGACCAGAAGTCGGGAACGGTTGTTCCCACAGAAAGCACCCCACACCATGCAACTTCCGCCCCCGAATCTGTCGACTTCCTGTAAACAACATTGGGCATACCGTTCACGACGTCGTCTCCAGACTCTATGCCTGCCGTCCGCGAATCTGAGGGTAAACCTGGATTCATCGCTAAAGACGACTCGATTCCAGTCTCTCTGGGTCCATCACAGGTGACGTTGGGCCCACAGCAGACGTTGACGTAGATGAAACGGCGTCAATATTTGCCCACGATATGGACGTCGAGAATGGAGATTGGCAGCCTGCAACCGATTTCAAATGGTCTGTGAGGACAGTCGACCTCTAAACATCTCAGCCCTGGTTCATGTAGACGGCGGAAATCTGTCACGTAGGTGACGTAGGACGATTTGACGGTCTTCTGCTCGTGACGTCACACGTGGACGACCCGACCTTGGGCGATCAAAAGTGGTGCCAGTTTGTTGTAGACGACCTCGCAAGTCATACACAGTACGACGGCTGCATCCCATTGCTCTTGCGACGTCAATAACTGATCTTCCCGCTTGCAACATGCCAACAGCACGTTCACATTGCACATTTGACAATCATGGCATTTCAAATACCGTTAGAACTGTGGTTTAAAAGTGTTTTTTAAATTCTTGAGGCCAATGCTAACACATGCATATGAAGAAAACTTCGATGCGAAGATCACGTGATCGACTGCACGTGCAAAAGAGTCGAAAGTTTGGGATCCCGTTTCGGATACATAGATGTATCATCGGAGAACAATTATTCATTATTTTTCAAATTACATTTTGTGAAGTTTCTTTTTTTGACTCAGTATATATTTATTATGCAGAATACCTGGTTTTCTAACTGGGGATTTGATCTTTCAAATGACAATTCAAACACTTACCGCTCCGTGCAGTCTGATGCCAAGATAGGTGAGAGTGATGAGATTGAGAGTGGCAACGAAAACAGCATATGCTGTAAAGCTTATGAACTGGATCGATGACCCGTCATTGATGATAACGTAGAGGCAGAAACATATAATAAGGAACGAACTGAGATAGGCAGCAGCCACGTGTATGGATATGAAGGAACACACATAATCCACTAGGTCTGTCAACAATGCGTGGTAATCTCGAATGTCCTCAATCTCCTCTTCTTTGACGCATCCTCCAGATGCTTGTACCAGCCTCAGCGTGCAAACGTCATATTCATATGTGAGAAGAAGGGAGATTGACAAAACCAGAAGCAAAAGTGAGAGGTTTAGCAGAGTGTTACAGCCACCATATACCGCACTGCAGACAAATAAAGACCAATATAGTTTTTGGGATTGTTCATTTGTCATGAATGCAGCAAGTCCACTCGCTACAAAGCTCAAAGCTGCAAAGACTTGTATACACAAACATGTCCTCTTTATCCTCTTCCTCAGTAAACTGTTTGAAACAGAACTTTTAAATTTCAATCGTGCTTCACGAAGACGTTGGCAGAATATGCGTATCTTGCTGTGGATGTTGGTACTGAGACCCCAGTAGATCAGTGATAACACAAATACAGTGTGACTCAATATTGCAATAGTTGTGTCGGTAAGAGAATCAGCTTTGGCATACAAAGGAAATTCCTGGACAAACATTAGAATGAAAACTATGCACACCAAACTTGAATATATGCCGCTAGCTACCGCGGATGGGGTGCACCGTTGTTCTGTCTTTGAGTGCTTGTAGTCCCACGATAATCCAGACAATGCCATCAGTCTCTGGATACTAGACAATGTTTCCTGTACATCATCTGCATCACTGGATGTTCCAACGGTATTTTTGAAAACCGTCACAGAGGTTGACATATTGGGTATCGGATATAGAATGTTCTGTCACTGGAAGCCAGACCCTCTTTGACCGATTGTGTGTTGTCAACTGAATGTCACCAGTATTTGGAGACCCTCTTTGACCGTATGCATCTGCTCTCAACTGAAGATTACCAGTATTTGGAGATCCTCTTTGTTTGACCGTATGCTTCTATTCCCAACGGAGTGTCACCAGTATTTGGTGTATCGGTTTTCGTGATGCTGCTTCAGTTAACTCTGAACATACATTTAGTTACATGAGGTTCCAAATGGAAGTCGACGGAACTTGCCAAATTGTCACTCAGCATGTTTGTATTCACATACCACATCACGTTTATGAGGGGCGTTCAATGAAGTAGGAAAAAGCCATTAATGGCCTAGATGTAATTACCGCTACATACTGGAACTACAGCAAACACATTACAATGGTATCAGGGTTCTCAATGGCTGGTCTGTTGTACTATCTGGTAATAATAGTCCGCATCACACATAAAACGATGACTGAATACTATACTGTCACATATGTAAACAAAGCTTTGATTGATTTTTACGTTGTGGAAAATCTCGCTCTGTAGTTAGGTTCAGTGTTTTTCCACATGTATTAGCGAGTGGATGTGTGAGTGGGAAGGAAAGGAATCGATATACATTGTATTACCAATATATTAAATCACAATGGCCGTACCACTGAAACCCAACTATAACTTATAATAGTTCTTTGCATCAGAGGTTGTTTTTTTTCGTTGTTGTCTTTTTCATCACAGAGTATTGCCGTCATGGTGGTAACACATTGTAATTAGAGACGGCAGGGAGAGGGAGGGGGAGAGAAACAGACTAATGACCACATTTGGCAGATCATGGTTCACAGACAAGAATTTGTATGAAGTGTGAATCTCATCTGAATACTTGAACACGGTCATCTACAGAACTAGATTCACTTGTGGGTAATGACTATGCATCTCATTTTGACATTTGCTGATACCATCTCCATGACACCATGCTTTTAAAAGCCTGTCATGTGTAACGTAGTTGTGGTAATGGTCTCCTCGTGTGTAGACAAATCTCGAGTCTAACAAATATGTACACTTATAAAAAAACTTTAAAATGTTCACTCAAATGATGTTTTCAGGGAAATGAATCGATAAAAAGAGGTAACATTGATGTTTCCATAGTCAGTGCACTGATTATGTGTACAAAAATCCACAAGAACACACAAAGCTGTTCTCACTTCCGGGCCCTTGAGTTAATGTACAATGATATGCACATTTTTTTAGTTTTTAGTCTCTCTTAAAATGAAACTCATTAGCGCTGTTCTGAACACAAAAGACCCCATAAAAACAAGAATAAATGCCATCACATTAATATATTGAATTCAGTGTGACTAGTGAATTTCGTCGGTCTTCCTTTTTTGCACATAAACATGAAACCAATAGTTCTCAGGATAAATTGCTGTAGTATTTTTCAGTCTTGAAAATTGAGCACATGACATCTAACATGCCATGAATAAGCATATGGGTGCATATGTAATATATCACTGAAACTAAGTTTACCAGGGTTTTCTTTCATACTTTCTTTAAAATTGACCACGAAATACAAAAGCAAATGCATACACAAGACAATTTGAATTCAGGTTTCCTTCATTGAAAACGAGAGACATGTCGGTGTGAGTAAAAACATGCATCCCAATAGTGTTCGTCCTGGGTTAGCAATTCATCTGGATCATTACATTTCAGGTTTACTCGTTTGATAATCACATATGGGTTCCTGAGAAGGAATGACGGCTCACGCTGTCCTGTAATAGTGGAGTTCTGTAGAAACCAATAAACGAGTTGTGCACTGTTGATTTCAACTTTCTCTCTTTGGTTGTCAAATTCTGGTTGAGGCTCATTGATGTAATGACACAACTGGTTTCAGTCAACTCTTGGGTCAATGCTTTGTGTCCAAGATGAATGAATATCACGAATGTCACAAATGGACCATCCTATACATTGTATCGCTGTTTGTAAAGCAAAATTGCAAATCATGCATACAGACTTGATATCTACCTTGTTTTGGTAATCATCTATCAAATGCAATAGATGATATGTCTTTATTCTCTATTATTATTAAATAATATGGACAGATAGCGGTCGATTCGCAACTTTAAAACCATCTGGGCAAAATTGGTCAATATTTATTATTAGTAGTAGTAATAGTAGTAGTAGTATAGGATATTTATATAGCACACATGTCCACGCGCTGGTATTTTCCCCTCGATCATTGGATGTCAATCTCAACGGCACATCTTATTATCAATCTCAACTCCCTGGGGATTATACAACTCTTGCTGCCCCCATGCGCACCGAGTTATTGTGGCACGAGAACTGAACAGAGTCTGAGACTGTAATCTTTGAATGGTTGATAACTTCCAGAACAGTGCCTTTTGTTCTGATGGCTATTGTAGTTTTGTGAAAGATTAGACTGTGGAGGAATCACATACCAACAATTTGCATTTGTTTGTATCATTAGAAGTCATGACAAGCCCATGAGCACCACACAAATATATTGATTTATAATTTCATTACCACAATCAGTTATTGAAGTAAATGCGAACAAGCCCTTTCCGCATCTTTGCTAAAAGCATGGTCGATTGTACAATTCTGACTAAATTTTGTTGCTTACTTTTTTGTTTGTTTAACTGCACAACTGAGTCATGTTACAGCTATATGGTGGCGCTCTGTAAATAATCGAGTCTGGACCAGTGATTGACATCATTAGATACGGTGACAGAGCATAGGTTTATGAGTCGAATATCGATAATACCAGATGTTCTCGAAAGGTGACCGTATCCTGCCCCTCTGTCATAAACAAATATTTCATGAAAGGTTTCAGGTCACAGATGCATCATATTTTGAAATGTCATCTACGTGTCCATATGCAGCTTTTTTGACATCTTCCCTGAGATCTCGTATGTTGTCAAACATATGAGTAAGTGACACATGAGGCTATTTGAAAGCTTGGTAAAAAGAGCATGCCTGATTTTACCCCAACAGGTGTGAAGTGGAAACAGCAAAGGAAACTCCATGTCCCATTTATGTTTATGCACGTAGTCTTTATGGTGAACTATAATGGTGAAACAAGCAGACGATGGAATAGTATGAACACTCGTTCTGTTGAGGTTGGTTGATTGACTTTTGATTTTGCCCCTCTAGATGTTGTGATCGGGATTGCCTCGGATATGGTTGGATAAGGTTGTGTCAAGTTATATTACTGAGCTCTAACGTTCTTTGATTCCGGTTGTGAAGGGTCTAAATTTTTGCAACACACAAAAGGTATCCATATATTATAATGTTGTTCTTACTTTGTGGTACAACTTGTTTACAGATGAGCCTCGATTCTTTTTCTTCTTGATAGACGTGGTCGTTGAAATGAACGTCAAGCTGATGTCAACCTGAAACTTCATGACAGATATTGTGGGATATTATTTTTATGATGTGAGGTGTCACCAATATAACTGAGCCAATGCCACGGCATTGTGACATTAAGGAAGGAACACTTGACAGTACTATCGGTTCGACAAACTGACACCCGTTAGTGCCCATTGCAAGGCGTGTGGGCCTTTCAGGACGACAACGCGAGTGCTCCTCTTGCACCAATCGTCAGCCGCCATCTCTTGCAACCTCAACGTCCAGACTAACATTACCAGGAATATGCTGAGACCATTCCCTTGTTGGACATCGGACACAAGTTAGCATTAGTGCCACAAAACACTCAAGAAGGGGATTGGGACAGACAGACAGTGACTGTTTTATGCACTCTTAATTCATCTTAGAATTGTGAAATCTTTCTCTTAACGTCACGGTACTTTAAGATAATTGCCAGTCATAAAGTCGACAATAATATTTCACTACTGTGAATGGAAATTCACTACCATTAATGTGATCCTAATTAGTTCATCATTGTCACACAACTATCATTTGAAACAAACAATGTTGAAATGTCTATTATTTGAAGGAAAAGAATTAAGGTTATTTTGGAGCGGAGACCATAACTGTTTTGTGAAATATTGTTGTTTGAACAGTCACCTTCAACACATCCCTTATTCACATAGTGTTTTATCAGGGACATGGCGAAATATATTAGTAACACCCAGCTCACCCAATAGACGGTCAGAGATGTATTCAGTATCTTGAACCCACAGGCCCGTAACACATGCAATGTAACCATTGACAAACGGCCAGCATGCTTTGGACAGAAGCAGCATTTAGAAGAAAATAAGTTACCCCGATGAAAGCATTTTATTTTCGTCTTTGATGATACATTAGCAATATTTAGGTAGCACGAATGACATTCGTTATATAACAAACAAATGTCAAACCGTTGTGGCAATATCAAATCATTGCAAAATAAAGTTGTAAAGCCATCAGTGCAGAAACTTAAATTAAGTCAAGTAGGACATGATGTAGTCATCCTGTCGTGTTGTTTGCATCCTACTCCAATCCGGCTGTTGATTCTGGTTTAAACTGGATCACGATGAAAACATACGTGAGGAGAGTCCTGATGATCTGTATCAACAAAGATGCAAAACCTGTAATTGGATACTGAACTGTAGTGAACAAAAATGTGTTCTTTCTCGGGTTTTATTTGAGAGTTCAGTTGCGTCGGACGTTCAGATCTGGCAAATGGACATGTGAGTGAGTGAGTGAGTTAATATTTAACGTCACATCGGCAATATTTCAGCCATATCGTGACGAGAACAATTAAGTTTATGCATAGTAAACAATGGTAAACTATAAAAACCTGTCAACGAAGGACAGTAAAATAACTAGATTATCACAGATTCGAATTTAAAACTAGCAATCAAATCTAAAACAGTCTAACTATAGGACAATACAAGGTAAAAAACAGGCTATAGATTGCCAACAACTGAAGGTAGATCACCATACTAGGGACCATGGGGACTTATAGTACATTTGCTTCCTGCATGGACCCTAGCTGGATTTACACCAACCCCTCAGCTATTAGCAATGTTAGATAATCTAACCATAAATTAAACGAACATATATTCTACGATTAAAAGAGTAGTAGGTTTAAATTTACTTTGAATGTTTTGGGACTTACGTACCCTCTCAGGAGGACAATAATTTTACGCTACTTCAACCCCCTTTGAGGGCACTGCCACTAACAATCTAAGCTACTAATCAAATCTACCAATAATTAAAATACATATATGTACAGAACATATTATTCAAAATTCATTCATTAAATCAATTTCTTTTAAAAAGCCAATAATTAAATGAAAATTAACAGTGTTAAAAAGATCCTGAACTGTTTTCACATTGAAGTATTTATCCCTTATGATGGAGAATTCAACACAGTCAAGCAGGACATGCTTGACCGTGCTTCTCTCATCACAAGGGATACAAAACGGAGGA